CATGAAAGTCACAGCACGCTGTTAAACAGAAACAGCTGCGGAAACATCAGGATAACAGATATAAAGAATGGAAAAGATTAAATATTTGTTGGCCCCGTGTTAATAAAGGACACAGAGCCTGCAGCAGTGCTGGAAAGTAACTAACTACGTACACTCAAGCCCTTTCTGTAAAGTACAATGTTCACGTACTTCCATTTTATACTATATGCATTCACTCCACCACATTTCAGAGGGAAATACTGTTCTTTCTACTCCGATACATTTTACTGTTACTTGAGTATTGAAGTACTCACGCATTTTACAAAAAGAGCCCATTCTATGGTAAAGAAAAAAACAATTCATACAGTTTAGATGAAACACACCAGTGAAAACATCACTAGGATTATTTTATATTCAATTTCTGCCAAAACCTAAATCTTACACACTGAACCTTTAAAGTATTAAAATGTAATTGCAGCTATTCCCAAAGTAAAGGCCTTGTACATCATTTTTGTTAAATCTCAGCTCCGGATTAGAAAGTACAGATATGTGTTTATGAATGTGGAGTATATTTAAGTGAAAAGTACCTGAAAATCTATTTACAGTAATGACATAAATGTACTTAGTTTTATCCCACCACTACAGGCTGCTTTGAAAATGATTAGACACAAATAAAAAACATAACACATTGTTAAAGATGAAGAATTTGGTTTTCAACCTTTGAGGCTCGAGTTTTTCCAAAGAGCTTCTCATATGTTTTCAGTTCAATAAATGTCCAATAATCCAATATCTCAAAATAAATCAAAGCTTAGAAAAGAAGTTAAAAAAAATAACTGAAAACAGATTTGTGCATCAGAACTTGGTTTACTCATTCTTTCCTCTTCCATTCTGATATTTCCCTCAATGGTCCTTCTACCACTGGCCTGCACTCCACCTGAAATTGTTATTCTGGAATGTTTATGTTAAATATGCTCCCAGCTGTTGGCGTAATTGTCTTGGAAAAAGTCAATGACTTTGGGTATTGTCTGCCAGAATCTATTCACCAGAACAGGAGGCTGAAACATTTCCCCACTTCCTCTGGCACAGTCTGCGTAGAGTGAGGTCATCTACAAAGCTTAAGACTTGTCCTTGCAGGGACCTTGGCGATTCACCGCCTCTGGCTCTGACAGGTCCACGGTCATATGCAAAGTTGAGCAACAACCTAATTTTGCATGACTGCGATGATGAAGAAAATCTTCACTTTCCTCACACAGTCTTGTTATGCTTTAAACTTTTCACCCCCTCTCTTACTTAACATTTCAACTTGTTTTTGTTCTCGCTTGTTTTTGCAGCAGCACGGCACTATGGCCAACAGTTAGTCCAGCAAGAGGCTTGAGTGACCCACCTGTTGTATTCAGGGAGGACGGAGGCATGGTCATTTATCAGCAGGTCTTTCACTTGGCTTACAATAGCAAATTTCCAGTTATCCAGAACCTGAGTCAGGTTGGAACAACTTCTGCCATAGGTGTTTTCTGCTGAAGACAGAAACTTATACTAAGACTGTATAGTAACATCACCGATAATAATAAAGTGGAGTGTGATGTCCCTGACCTGTAGCGTCCCAGCGTTGGGTTTTCTGTTTCCATTTCTGCGCTCCACATGTTGAGACCATGCAGAGAAGGACCAGAGCCCCCTTCATCCTCATCTTCCTCACTGAACAAAACCAGAAATATGGGACACGTGTGCTGCTGAGAAACAAGTACAAAGGAAGGTTATAATTAAGCTAAATGTGCCAATCATCATTAATCATGCACTTTTACGATACCTTTCTGTGAAATGTTTCTTTCTCTTTCCAGGTCAGAGCAGGACAAAAAAAACACAGTCTTTGTGATGGAATCCTTCAACAGTGACACACTGAGAAACCATGACCTGGCCAGCACTCTCTTATAAGTGCCTCCCTTAACTCCTGCAGCCAATCCCCTCACCACCTGCTCCCACCCACTCCAGTGATGAAGGGCTGTGACACACTTGGTAGCATGTGAGCACGATGGACAAAGACACATCATGGTGAACACATGCACACTCACACACTTACTCACAAACTATAGAAAGTTGTTTATAATTATACAGGTATAAAGATCTTAATGCGGTATAAAAAACGGGTGCACACAAACACACACACGGTTCCCAGGGGATCTTATCAGATGTGTCGTGCAACATCTGCACTGTAAAAAAATTAACTTATCCGGTTTGGGAGGTCCTGATAATCCCCAATCTATGCTCCATCTATCCTCCATGTGTCTTTGAGCTGCTGTGAGTGTTGTAGGGTGACAGCACTCCCTGTGGGCTCTAATCCAGAGGAGGTGTTTGATGTAGCAGTGTGGCTCCAGCCAGCATAGCATTCTTACTGCCGACTGTAATCCAATCTGCTCAGCATCTGGCCTACGACAACCCCAGCCAGCACTGGTCCCTTTAATTGTCCTGATAGATCAAAACTAGAGGAGCTGCATTCAACGCAACTGGAAAGAGAATGAAAATAGCTGTTGAGTTAATGATGTTTGTAGTCATCTTTGATACAGCCCTTATGTACTAATGACCCAAGAAATATTCCTTCAATTTTATGCAGTTGGACACTCAAGCATTTCTTTATCCAGTCAGAAATAAAATAATGTTTGTTGTGTTGTGTCTAACTCCATCTGAAACACTGTGCTGCATCCTGTGCTGATGGGTGCAGATGTTTCTAATGACACATGATGCAAGGTCAGCTGCTAAAAAAGGAATCTGGCTGGGCAACAGTCACATGGAGACACGAAGTGTACTGCATGCTTTCTGGTTCCATACCTGCCAGAGCTGACAACACTGCAGAGTATACGTTGGGTTCAGCTCAAGCAGTGGGAACCAACCGCACCTTAAATCACAGCCTCTCTAAAGATTTATGAACAATGAAACACAAATCTGTATAATCTTATTTAGCTGTTACCCACACTTTCTTTTTGAAGAAATGATGTAATGGCTCATGATTTGAGTGTGAACAAGTATAGGAACAACATTAAGAAAAAAGACACCATCAAAGTAAGTCTGTAGAAATGGGTTTTAAGCATAGACTGTAGGTTTTAAGAAGTTATCCCAGTGATGAGCAAAATCTTATAATCACTAGAAAACTGAACAGGGAGCCAGTGGAGAGAAGTTGGTGTGTGACGTCAACCAGTAAGAAGCCGAGCTGCAGCTCTCTGGAGTGGAGAGTGACTTTTGATTTTGGCCAGAGTATAGTCTTGAGAATACAAACGCATGAATAACATTTTCCAGGTCAGAGTGTGATGGATCAGAGGAAGACGTAGCATAAGATGGAAATACTCAACTAAAGTCAAGTCAATCTTCTTTGTTGCCATGCCTCTGCTGCACCTCTGCTGTCAGTGATGAATATTAAAAAATTGTAATATGTTTGTTTTTTGTTGCAACAGATTAAGATGGAAACAGACTAATTTCTGGAGTCCACTGTTCTGCAGAAGTAGACTGACTTTGTTCCAGCTCTCTACCGCTTGGATCTTCACAGGCCAAGGAAAGTATGACAGCAGAGGACGTGCAGAGCCAGAGTGTGAGATAACCAGGCCTCAGTCTTTCTGTTTTTAACTCACTCGCTGCTTGTTATTGACTCACAGCAGCAGATCTTCCCTTAATGACTTCATCAGAGAAGCCAGTGTCCAAACAGAAGGTGAAACTTGTGGATTCTCGCTCTTCCTCCTGAATCACATGTTGGTGTTGTGCATAAACACAAGTCAAGCAGGATGATGTACTGAGCTGTTGTCTTGCATTATTTGACTTCAAAGTCTGGTCTCGCTGGGCAGACTTTGAAGTACAACAAATCCAGGGCAGATGTAGCATAGCTTAAAAAATGCATTTACACGAACAAGTACATACAACACTTATATAGACTTACATTCATTTTGAAACGGTTAAATAGACTATACAGTATCTCCCAAAAGATGGGCAATGAGGAGGTGATCACTCGCTAAACAAAAGCAACTCAAATATGTTCATAGGTCAGTTCTGTGTTTCAATAATAGGTCATGGTCCGTGTAGCTCTTATCAGTTACATTCTCTATATGATAAGTGAAGAAATTAACATTTTATTCATTTCAATTGATTTTATTTTGTTCTTATAACTTGGAGGTAGGGTGAAGGATTAGAAGAACTCACTAACTTTGGCCTGGTTCCTTATTGATGAAGAAAATAGGGCATAATTAAAGGTACAGTGTGTAGAATTTTGTGATATCTAGTGTTGAAATTGCATTTTGCTCACCTTACCCTCTCCTTCCAAACATGAAAAAGAAACTGTGGTGGCCTTTAATTGTCATAAAAACTCAAAAGATGTTTAGTTTGTCCAGTCCATACTAATGTAAAAAAACATGGCGGCCTCCGTAGAGAGGACCCCCTCGTTGTCAATATAAAGTATTTAAATATAAAGGGCCATCTAGGGTAAAGAAAACGACAGTTCTTACAATTGAGATGAAACGAACTAGTGAAAACATGAGGATTATTCTACATTCAGTTTCTGCCAATAGTTCCCTTTCACCTAAATCTTACACACTGGACCTTTAAGAGACTGATATAAATGTGTGTGTGGAGTTTAGTGTGGCTTGATTGAATTTAAGGACACCGTTGGGCCTCTTTTGAGTCAAAAATGTGTACAAAAAAGGTAAATTTCACATGTCAAAAGTCTCTTGTCCTTCTTGGTTTGAGTTTCACTTGTGTGTGTGTGTGTGTGTGTG